GCAGCGGCCCGAGAGGGTCGCGTCCCGGAGTTCCCAGCTCCCCAGGTGCTCGCTGTCGTGGAAATGGAGGAAGGCTGTCTTAGTCCAAGCAGCTTTACAGGCTAAATATAGGTTGGCACGTCTTGCGGCGTCGGTACTCTCGCTTGCAGGAGTGCTGCTCTTTTTAGAAAGCCCAAGAAGGCTGTAAAACTCTGTGGCCCCCAAAAGGATTGTGGGAGAGGACTGGAAGTAATTTTTGAGCACGTTTGTGGACCAGGTGTTGTGATTGCCAAAGAATATTGGCTGTGATGCATAAGTAACGCATTTTTGACAGCATTACTGTGACTTGTGTAACTGCATAGTTGTTTTGTTCCTGCTCTCAGATGCTGCTGGACCAGGGCTGATCGTGTTGCCAGGCAGAGTGCTATTTTAAGCAACTTGTGCAGGATGATGGAAGACTTCAGAAATATTGCCGATGAGACATTTCCAAGCTTCTTGGGCCATTCGTTGAGTAGCAATGCAAGCGTTGTTTTTGAAAATGTTACTCTTTCCTCAAACCCTGGCTTACCTGTTGCGGCTTCAACTGTTGCCAGGAGTAAAATGATCTGTGACAACAGGTGAGACTATCAGTTAATGCTACTTAATAATATAAAAAAACAGTTGACTGGTTTGAAACATTTAACTTTGGAGAGGAAATTTTTTTTTGAAAGATTATTTGGTAGACAATAAAACTGTGTGCTAATCAGCAGCGTACTAATTAGCCAGCACACATAGGACTGATTGTATTGGAGAAGAAAAATCTGCATTAAATTCATAACTCATAAATACTTAACTTTTACTAAATTACCCTTTAAAAGAGTAGTTTAGCTTTTGGACTGATAACAATCAAATTTCTTTTAACTCAGCTGTTCAGCTTAGTGTACTTGAGTTTGAAGTCATATAGAGAATAATATATTTTTTACATGTGTGTTCTCTTAGCTCTATTAACTGCTTATTTAATTTATCTGAATCTGGCTCATTTTAGAAAGAGTAGCGTAAGAACTAATGTTATGGGTACGAATTAAAATTTAACAGATTTATAATGATTTGTTCAGTGAGGAGTGTAGAACAAAGAGTAACAATTAGAAGTCTTTGCTCACTTATCTGCTGTCCTGTGACTCAACAAGAAGTAAGATCAGACTTTTGTGCTCTGTCTTTCCAGAACTGTGCGTTTCAAGTGAGGCAGCACTAGCCACTAAAAATGACGGTGTGATATTTCTCTAAAGAGCTACAGAAGACTAGAGAGGATCATTCTGGGTGCATATGTGTACCTGTAACTACAGAACAGCTAGAAAATGCCAAAATATTCAAATAATTGAACTTGTAGGAGATGAGTGGCCATCAATATGGTTTTATTTTTTCCAATTCTTTGGAAAACAGGAGAGGGTGTGTATTAGAATTATTCTGCTGTGTGTTTTTTTTTTCCTCCTCACCTTTACAGGCTTTCTGATACCTGCGCATCCTATTTAGAAGGGAAGCATTCACCTCTGTCAGGATCTTCTCACAGTAGTCAGTCAGATCCTGAGCCAATGGGGAGACTTCCTCTCAGCTTTTGTGGTGACATGTAAGTGAGATGGTTAAAATCTAATTCTGTCCTAAAATTCACATACCAGTAAGTAGTGTGTAGATTTACATATACTATAAGCTAATTATGGAATACTTCAGGATTGAATTGCCCCCCTCAGCAGCGGCTTTTACCACTGGCTTTTTGATGGCAGTAACCGGAGAGGTCAGCTGTGCGTTAGCCTTTTAACTTAGTGTTTGGCAACCTGGACAGCTTTTCCTACTGAAACAACTCCATGTCTTCTGAAGAAGGATACTGGCAGGCTATGTGGAAGCAATGTGCAATGCTACCACTTAGCCTGTACAGCCCTACGTGAACAACATTGTTTAATTGACTAATTTGGCTTCATGTACATAACAGGAATGAATCTTTAGAAGTGTTTGTGGTTTGTTTTTTTTTTTTAAGCTATGATGTTTCGTTGTCACACAAATCAAAACTTTCCTAAGCATGATTAATTAATTGACTTGAATCTGGCTTGTATTTACCTAGTTCATGTTACATAGTCTAGAATTAAGCTGATGTATCTGGTTCGTGTTGTGTGTGAGTAATAGTTTACAGTGATTTAAGTCTGTTCCAAGTAAGTATCATGCAGTTTGGGTACAGAAATTTATATTAAATTTAGCTTCCTTGTAGCCTCAGTGATTGCTATTTCTTAGGAAATAACTAGTGTTAGTGAAATAATTTAGAGAGCATTAATAAGTGGTGGAAGTGTTGGAAGCTGTTGGATAGGTCAGTCTAACCAAGGTCAAATTTGTTCCTGTTGTTGCGACAGAAACTGCAATGTGCATCTTTCTCACTGATAAAATTGCCCGGTAGTCAATATGTCCCTAAAAAAACAAAGAAGATAAGATTTAAAAGGAGTCAGTGTCTTCACTGTGCTGAAGTAAGAAAAATACAAAACATAAAATAATTGCATTTTAGACTTTCAAATGTTAGTTTTATTTAGATATCTAAAATATTAAGGCAAAAATATGGTTCATTTCACTCAATGTGGAAATTTTAACATCTTATGTGATTAGCTTATCTGCCTGTGTTGAAGTCCTGTGAAACCAGAAGTGAAAAATAACTTTCCTGCAGAGTTATAAAAGCTGTTATTTAACAGAACTGTGTGAAATTTCAGTAAGTCGTGTTCTTTATGACTTAGTCCCTAATTTAATGTTACAAAAGGCACGCTGATATTGTGGACTTAAGAAAGTCTTGTCTAGGGTTTGACTTGCTCCAAATGGATCATGGAACTTACGTGGAATAGACCCTTTCCCTCTTACTCTTTTCCCTTTTTTCAGAAATGAAAGAGAAAAGAACAGACAGAAAAAAGTAGAGAGGCATATGTTACATTAAATTTCACTAGTTGTTTCGTAGTTTGGATTGTGAAACTGAAGCCCTTGTAATCTTGATATTTATTCCTTTATTGTAATAGGTCTGTAGAATCTATGTTAATGGGAACAGCTGACTTCCTAGAGACAGAGGAATTAGGATTGGAGAATTTATTGAATCTTTATTTAGAGAGATATTGTATGCTAATGTTGATCTATATATTTCAGTGTGTTTTTTTTTTTTTTTTTTACTGAAATAATTCTCTTTCTAGGGAAGTTGCTACACAAGTTAAAGAACCTCAGGCACCTTCTGTTAGTTTGAAAGAATCCCACTCAGCATACGGAGAGCAAGCTCAGAATGTCATTGAGCATTCAAGTCGCAGTCAAGATACCTTGCATGAGGTATTGCGACTTGAACGATTGGAAGGTATTAAAATTTAAGAAAAATTGTGTACTTATTCTGGGTGTAATTAGCTTTTTATGCTATAGATGTCTTCTCCTGACCTTTTCACTGTTTTATGGCATAGTGTAAAAGGGTTTCGAAAAAGAATCTCTTTGACTTAAACAAACTAAAACCACAGAAAGCTTATGGTTGACATTGCTTTCTGTGTTTTCAGTTTAGTTTTCAGTTTTTGACATTAGATTTCTGCCTGAAGTACAAAGCTAGACAAGAAGCTGATGAAAATAATGTTTGCTATAAAATACCGTAATTAGAATGTTAGTAGTAGGAATCTGAATTAATTTCAGAAACTTGTAGAAAAAGTGTATGTAGGTTGTTTTCTATGCCTTCTCTTTCAGTAGGTCTAAGTCTATGAGATGATATTTTAACTGTCTCTCTTCTTGCCCTATTCCAACCTGTAATAGGTGATCTTTAACTGCAATTATAGAAGGTAGAAACCTGCTTTTCTAGTGAGGTGATGCATGAAGAAGTAGTTTGGAATACTTGCTGCGAAAACTATGCTTTTTTGAAATATGAATACAATAGTGGAAGCAAAATAATATGCTGTAAATTATTTTAAAAGCATGACTCTTGGTATTAAACTGTTTTGGGTTTTTTTGCTAATGCCAGTCCTGTGATTAAATTCTGGTCATTCCTTAAAATTCAGTAAATTTTCTTAGTAAGTATATACTTCTAGTCATTACCCTTTTCTAAACTTTATCTGAATATTTGCATAGATTTTCATGAGATAAGGATTAACTGTTTAATAGAGAACTTGTTCAACTAGAAAGTATGATGGTTTGTAATATAAATAGGCCCTTATAAAACACACTTCTAACAGTGAAATGTTGACTTTAGTCACTTACTGTAGTATTGAGGAAGTAGCAGTAACTATGGGAACAAAAATAATGATGCTTTGAAAAACTGAGACTTGATCATGCCTGACCATATTTAGTTAATTAGTTTTATCTTGTTTATTCAAGGTTTAGGGTTCTAGTCCAGAAATTGCCTGTTATTCCCATCTATTATTTAAGAATTATAAACCTTTTTTGCTAAAATTTGCATGTGCATGTCTAAGATGTTCTCTGTCTTGTGGGACTTGCACAAGATATAACACGAAGACAAGTGGAAGCTGCTTACAAGAGGTCCAAAAAAGAATTGGCCCAATAGCTGAAATGCAACAATGGAACAGAACACTTGTTCTTACTTCCGCTAATGCGCCCTGGACTCTGTCGTGGGTTAGGCCGCTCCGGCAGCCGAACCCTACACAGTTGCTCACTCACCCTCCCCCACCCCCAGGGATGAGGGAGAGAATTAAAGGAGAAACGGGAAACCTGTGGGTTGAGATAAGAACAATTTAATACAGTTAAGTACTACACAGTGTAGATGCTCACCACCCCCTCTTATCCGAAGCCAGTCTTGTCCTGAAGCTGCAATCCCGGATGAACGTGAGGCCCCGAGTAAAACCAAAACACGGAGCTCTTCTAGCTGCTAAAAAGAAGAGCTAACTCTGTCCCAGCTAAAACCAGGACAGACTCCTTAATTTTTTGCCCTGCCTTATGTAAATCCTCAAGGCAGTAATTGTCTTTCATAATTTTTACGGTTCTAGCCCTGATGAAGCCCTGGCTTTTTAATTATTCCCAGATACTTTTGATCATGTTATAAGAACATGTAAACTTTGGTATTGTGATAACAGGTGTGTTTCAGGGTTATTTCTATGGTGTATGCCGAACCTTCAAGAGGCTCAGTCTGCTGTCTTATAGAATAGTTAGCACTTAGTATAACACAAGAACATAATAAAATACTGATTACACTACATTCTTTTGTTCCAGATTTGTCAACCGGAATACGTCTTCTTCCAGACAGTAAGAATAACAAGGTGAAAACTTTTCTAAATACAGTGAAAGTGAAAATGTTCTAATATTAATTGTACTAGACTTAATTCTGTGAGAAGAGGAGGGAGGGAATTGAACCGTTTTATTGTGTTATGTTGTATATCCATTAAGTTTGTGACAGTACTAGTATCCTTTTGGCAGATCACTTAACATAATTAGTACCATGGGAGCATGACCACTTGAATTAGTACCACTTGATCTTTCTCAGTTGTGAAAATCGTTGTTCACTCCTAGTCTCTGCTGTCTCATAGTTCTGTATCTGTGTAAGGACCTTACATTTTATCCCAATTGTAGTTTAGCTTAGTGAAAAGCCTTTGAAGAACATTTTGGAAAGCTTTTGGAGTAAACAATATCAACCTGATTTGACTTGCCCCTGTACTCATTAATTACTTTGAGGGATGTTAGTTCAGATGACTTCTTCAGTGTCCTCCATATTAAAAACTGCACCATTTGTAAGAACACAATATTCCTGCTGCCTCTATATTTTTTTTGTTTTGTTTTTTTGGGTATCTGTCCCCAAGCTAGCAAACAGCTGCGGGTATTGACAGGCAGGGCTATGCTTCAACTGCTTTTATTTACTGTGTTAGAGAAGCTGACAGTTATGGGCACAGAGATACAAGGCACACAGGAGTGGGAGAACTTTTGGACCTTATAGAAAATAAAAAAAAACAAAAGGTTTATCTGAGTGTATGATTTCTGAAGAAGCACTGTTTTAGCAGCACAGGAAACTATTGAGAGTTGTCTTTGTACTTTTTAAGTTGGGATTGCAGCTTAATGAATGGGGGGACAATTTTTTCAACTGTAAACTCTTTAATGCAATTGTTCAGTATTTTATTTTTGAGGGTATTTAAGTTTGGTGCCATTCAGATGCTTTTTGCCTTGTTGCCCTTTATGGTCCCTGTATTTCTTGCATGTATCTGTTCTGGAAGCTAGCAGGCAAAGTCCATTGGAACTAGAATGTTTGTGGGGATAAGTAGGAAAAAATAAGGAAGAGTTTTGGAATACTATCTACCTCATTAACTGTTTATTATTCACTGAATTTATACAATAGCTAGTAACTCCTAGAAACATTTCTATATGGATGCTTTTCACAGGCTGATCCATCTGAACCTTCTGAAAAGCTGATAGAAGGTGAAATCTTAAGTGATGATCTTAGCAATAGCCTTTCAAGTTTCTTGGAAAATGAGAAACTCTCATCTCTTGCAAGCTCAGAAGATTCCACTGGTAAGTGTATTTATAACTCTGAGTAGTTGAGTCTGGAATTCTGAAACAATGCTAACGCATACTTGAGAGGAAAGGTATTGTTTTACTGAGATATTTAATCTAGGATTATGCTTGATCCAAAACTACTATTAGGAATATTAAAGAAAACTGCGTTCATTGGGAAACTGGCTGTTTTAAAATTGTAATAGGAGTAGGTGGCTATGCAATTTGTCAGAGAAAATCACAATTGGAAGTTTAATCTAAACAAATTAAACAACAGTCCTCAGTTACTATGAATCCAAAATAGAGATAGAGATGTGGACAGTCATTTAATAAAGTGGAAACCCCAGCTACAGCTTCAATTTAGATTAATAGAGAGAAACTTTTATAATGAAGAACATATCCGTGCAGTTAGAATTAACTTTTACTTAAGTTTCAGTTCTTTATAGATGTCACACATGCATAGTGACACCCAAGTCGGAAGTCTAGTTTACCTGTAGGGATAAAAATGAAAGCTTGAGTTCTGTATAGCTGAACAAGAGTTTTGAAACTTCTGTGCCCTTCCAGTGGCTGCTGCTGAAGGACAAACATGCTCTTCTTTATTAATGCAGTTGACTTTGCACATAATGTGAAGGATGACAGAGTGTGTCCTCAGATGCACCAAAAATGAGGAAGGCAGAGTGATAAAGAGGTTTACTGTTATCTTGAGATCAAGCAGCCCTGCATTCAAGTAGGGTTACTGAACAAACAGGATGCTTTTTCCTGGAAATAATAAAAAGTAAAGATGTCAGACTTCTTGGTGTATGTTTTACAGTCATTTTAAGAGTGCATTTAACCATGCCCTAAAAAGCTGATAGATGTTTGGGTCTTTAAAAACAAACAGAAGCCCTGTAAACTCTCATCTTCTGCCAGCCCCCACAAATTAAAAAAAAAAAAGCCCAAACCAAGAAAAGTTATGTCTTGGAAAACTTCTCACTTGGCAAATAGGAATAGTACTGTTCTTAGTAATAGCACTCAACATTTTTTTCTGTTGAAATATAGAACTGTGCTTCAGTCGCTTTCTGTGAAGTTTGAAAAATGTTACATGTATACATACTCATAAATTAAAAGTAAAATATGATTTGCTAGTTGAAATGTGTGATGTATAGATCATTTGAAAGAAGATGAGTCACTTGATGGCCTAGGAGTTAACATGCTAGCTTATAGTCATCTTATTTTGCTGTATATCACTAGTCATGGAGTAATACAATTACACATTTCTGTGACCCAGTTATTTTAAGGGAAAAACAGGATAATTCTGTTCTGTGTGATTGTATTGTGAGACTCTATGTATTAAAAATTATGGAGTTGCTCTGATATTATGCCAGGTGATATAAAATGTCCGTGAAAGATGAATACGTTATCTTCTTCTGTTTCTATAGATGATGATATCGATGATGAAGAGTTCTTTGATAACCAACTGGAAGCCTATTTTGAGCAGCTGATACAACCAGAAATGATAAGAGGAGACACCAACATACAGAACCTCTCAGAATGCTGCGCCGCGCTGAAGCTTTCCGAAAATGGCTTATTTCCAGTAGGTTTAAAGTTCCAAGCTTAGCATGCCCAGTGGCCCTTAAACATGGTGGAATCGTTGAGGGTTATTTGCCAGAGTGAACTAGGTTTTATTTCTTTCCTGACAAACCTGAATACTGTCCAACAGGTAGCCTGTACAGCAAAGGATTCCCTTTAAATTTAAAGATAGTAAATACAGCTCTAAACTAAAAACAAAGCAATTTGAGTGAGCTTCTGACTTTTTCTGTTCCCCCTGCAACAATTTCCTTGGAAAAAAAAAAAGAGAAAAGGAAGAAGCTAGGTATCTATTTCTGTATTTATTTTCCTGTTCCTTGTAGTGCTGAGCTAGTAGCTGATTCATCTGCTTGTTACAAAAGGTCTTACTATTTATGAGATAAGGTGGGATTAGGTAAGTCACTGGCTGTCCCAAGAGACACTTGTCAGGAAGGCTTGAAGCAAAGCTGAAGGGTTTCCTACTATGATGTTGTCTTTATTGAAGTCTCCGTTAAGGTTTCTCACCCCTTTCTAACCCTGCTCTTCACACTCCTCTTCGTCCTATGCATAGCCTTTTCCTTTCTCCTGGTAAGCAGCTCTGATAGACAACCGTGTGCAGTCAATTCTATTAATTGGTCTTGCAGAGGGAAAAAAACCCAAACCAACAAAACCCTGAACTCCTAAGACTGAATTTCTGTCCCTTCTCTGGGATGATGGAGACTTGTCCTCAGAGAAATCCTGCAATAACTGATACAGCATCAGTAGTATTTCCTGAAGAGGGACTTTTTCTGCTGGACTACTTAATACTGCATTTCTTAATCCTTATTACAAAAGTAAAAATTGCTTTTAGAGTTTTGGATTGTTTATGGTAGTTATCGTACCTATCGTACCTCGTGGCATTCTCTTGAATGCTTTAAGGTATGAATGTTTCTTATGTACCTTGCTTCCCTTCTAACCTTCCTAGTGGTGGTTTTTAGTGTCAGAGATGGTAAGGTGTTTATAGATAAGCGTTTGAGAACCTCTCAAGTCCACTAAGGGAAATTATATCATTGGTAACTAAATAGAAGTTTCTACTGATACCATTGTCTTGTGATGTCATGATTTTGATTTTGATTTCCAGCCTCTGAATGCAAAGAAAACTAATGCCCCTAAAATGCTTGCTTTACGCTGTCCTCTTCAGACCCAGCAAGCTGGTCAGCTGAACTGGAACTGAGGCCATTTTTCAGTCTGTCTTGTAACTTGCCTGTAATATCCAGGAGATGGGCCTGTTGTCTGTGTAGGAATTGCTTAATTTTAATCTGATGGTTCTGTGACAAAACTACTTTCAGTGGTTTAATTTGTTGCTATTCTTAATCAGTCTTACAGTTTTAACTGCAACAAGATTTAAAGAACTGAATGGAATTTTCTTTGAAGACATTGATTAAACTTGTTGAAAAGAAATTTAATTCACTCCTGACAAAAGATTCTCTCTTATTTTTTGTTTCTGTCAATATTAAGGTAACAAGCTGGCACTTATTTTCTATCATACAACTAGTTTATAAAATCTTTTTGATCACTGGCTTATTATCTTGGATAGCCATCTTCAAGGTTTTATTAAGTGTATAGTATCAGAGACTTATTTTTCCAGAAGAGTAATTAAGTCTCTTAATTAAGTAGTCAGTGTGTGAAAGGTAAGGGTGGAGCAGCAACTGGCTGACGGGTGGTTTATCTTTGAGCAGCGGTTGGCTCCGTTACAAACAGAGTGCCAGGGATTAACTGCCTTTCGATTTTCTTGGCTTTGCAATGATGGATGTGATCCTGGCAGTTGCATGCTTGACCAGAATGGGAAAGTGTGATTGATTTAAACAGCTAAATGAACTGTAGCTTCTGAAATTTCCCAACTGATGTTAGAGTTTTCAAGCTGTAGGAACTGATATGTTGACCCTGTAAAAGTGGTCTACATAGGCTGCCAGTTGCTGATCTGCAGCTGTATGTGAAGAAAAGAGGAGGTGGTTGTTTGAAGAGTTAGGGTAACACAGTTCTGCTCTCTGACCTCAGGCCTTCTCTACTTCTGTAAGGTGTTCCGACTTCACTGCCATTGTAGATAGGCAGTGGGGTCGGTACAACAGGTTCTGAGTTGGGTTTGGAGTCCTTATCCAGCAGTGGGTCAATCAGAATGGGAAGAGGAGTAGCATGGTGCCCTTGTTAAAGGGAATGAAAGGATGTAGTAGGAGTAAGAAGAGATCCTCCATCTTCTTGCTTTATATGCCCTTGGAGGCAGATGCATGGATTGGCATAACCAGGAACTGTTGTCCTTGGTGGTGCTGGCGCTAGCAGCTAGAGATGCCTCTGACGGTGGCACATGAGTGAACAAAGTACAATAATCTCTTTACCAGAGAATTTTTTAACATTGTAGAAACAAGTGTAGTGTTATTTTTTTTCCTTCGATATATCTGTTCTAGCGTAACATATATTTTATTTTTTAAAAGGAGAACTTTCAGGTTCCTGACGCTTACCAGGCTGTGACAGGAGTAGACTCAGGAAATGTTAGTGATGAAGATTCACAAAATCAAGGGATAACTGGATGTTCTGTTCAAAGAGAAATGCTGCCCAGAACAGTACAGCAGCTGGTATGAAATTTTCATTTAAATTTCTGTTTATCATATAGAGTAAGACTGTAGTAGATGTCAGTGCATTTGAAAACTTGTTAGAGATTGAACTAACAACCCAAACTTCCTTTACAAAAAATTAATAATAACGCTTTGTTTTCAGATATATTTTTCAAACATAGTTAACTTGGACTATTTTGTATCTAGAACTACTAGCACGAACAGTTAACAACTGTACTTCTGACACTTTAAAAATGATTGTTGTTTTCTAAGAATTCCATGACTACTGGAGATGTGATAGATTCCACTGCTGCTGAGTTGCAATTAGATTCATTATATCTTCAGTGCATGGACAGTCATAAAGCTGATGTATCGGATGTACTTCCAAAGCAAGAAATACAGTCCTCTGAGTGTCAGGATGCTTCTTCTGATGCAGAAGTACTACACACAGCAGGAGGATTTTTGGGGCACTACGCAACTTCTGAAGTTCTTAGTGCAAATGGTCCTCAAACAGATGCAACCGAATGTGAAGTCGCTCTTGCTGATGCTTACCTGTCTCCGACTGCAGACAGCTCTGAAAACATAAGTTCAGCTACAACAGACAAAGGTAGGTTGTTTTAGATGTAAACCATCTGTACAATTGTGACCAGGTTCCGTTGCATGGCAAAGAAATAAAATTTTAAGCTATGCGTTTTTCTTCAGTTGTGCAAGTTGGTAATAAAAATGTAGCATGAATAAGTTTTGACTTTTTTTTTAAATTCTGACTGTTGTATATTGCACTTAAGAGTTGTTATTTGATGATGAAACTAGTTTAAACCTGCAGTTGCAGCAACTTAATCTATGGTTTTTTAACTCCTCAATCTAAACTTAAGAGAGTTTGCATGTTTCTTTTTATTTTAATCAACAGTACAGCGTTTGATGTATCTTTCAGGTGATTTACCACACAGTGTTGTCTATCAAAATGAAGAGGGCAAATGGGTGACTGATCTTGCGTATTATACTTCATTTGATGAAGAACAAGATTTAAATCTGTCTGAAGATAAAATAAATGAGGAGTTCGTTACTGGATGTATGTAATCTTTCTCCTTTTAGATAGCTGTTGTTATCTGTAGTAGTGTTAAGTAAACTTTCTTCTTTTTTTTTTTTTTCCCACTTCGACGAATGAGTATTTGGTGTTGCAAAGCCTTGAGGCTTTGGATACTACAAATTATTTGAAAGCTGATGTCGATGGTAGCCTATAATGATATTATCATTAGTTGTAGTTGATAGCTTCTTTCCATGCTTCCTACTCTTCCCATGAGTCTTTTGTTTTGTTTCAAAAAGCATTCTAACATATGTCACTGGTTCCTGTTGTATGAGCAAAAGTAACTCCTGTAGCTATCATTTCCACCGTTTTTCTTTTGGACTTTAATTATTGTTATTTGTTCTTTCAAGAAGAGGAAACAGTAGTTATTCTGGGTTGCGTGATGGTTATAAGACAGGAAATAACTGTAAGCACTAAGTTTCTACAAAATCAACTAGAATCTGAAAAGAGCTGCTGAATTCACTAGCTGGTGATTTTTTTGTGACCCACTTGGGAACATCTTGATGCTGAAAAATGGTAGTGGTACTGAAAAATGTTGGAGCTTATTGAGGGGCTTTACTGGACTGTCATCTTCTAACAAATTCCAGGCTTTTTGAATGTTTGTTTACTTAAATTTGTTTTCCTTCAGCTGTCTCAGACTGATCTTCATGAGAGCCTGTGTTTATCACACAGGCTTGGATAACATGCATGTAGTACTATAGACAAATCAGTTCCGTAGCACCAAAATGTCATCTGTTTGACTAGACAGAGTCAAGCAATATGTGCAACAGTATTTCTCCTAGTCCCTTCTAGTTTCTTAAGTTGACGTATGGATGCGCTAATGTGTTCTGAAGAAATCTACAGTCCACTCAGGGTTCCTCTTTCTTTCAGAGAGAATGCTCTATATGTTGCTGTGTAGAATTGTTTATTTTGAATAAGTGATTAAACAGGGTTGATTAGTGGTTTTCTGCTGAAACAAGCAAATATCATCCAGTTTGGTAGAAACTTCCTGATCTACTATGTCAGTAAAGCAGAGCTTCTCCATTATTTTCCAAACACTGGGATATTTCAGACACTTTACTGCATCTCAGACCCTTGAGTGACTAGAATATTTGATTGTTGTAAATTTTTCTGAGGCTGTTTAGCTTTTTCCCCACCTGATGGGTTTTTAAAGGAATTCTGCTTTAGGGCTGATTGGTTTACCTGTTCACATGGTAGAAGTCATGCTTATGGAGTCAATGTGGCTAGCATTTTTCTGGCTGCTCGTTTCCCTGTCTGTTTGCAATGCTCAGGTGTGATGTTTGACAGCTGAGAGATTTTATTTGTAGGGACAGGAAGGAAATACTACATCTGACATGTGAGTCTCGTTCATGACATATCTGTCTCTGTCAGTAAACTGTGCACACTGTATTCTTGTATAGAATAGTGCAGGATTGCCCACTTGACAGATTTGGTGCTTCAGGAAGTCTTTAGAAAGCTGTATGGCTTCTACAGAGGGTTAAGGAAGAACTGGTATTGACTTAAAGTTCAACTGGATGTCACAATGTGTCATTGGTAGTGCTAGGTTGCTTTTACGAAACACAGTTGGATTGCTCAATAAAGGTGTGTTCTAACTTTGTTTCTTTCATCAGAGTGTGTACTGTGACTTCGCATAAGTAATTTTATGGGCAACAGCTGTATTCACTTTACAAGTTTGTGTCTGTTCTAAACATATTTCCCCATTTCCCCTGTGTCCTCTATGATGGGGGATGCTGTGTGTACAAGGCCATGTATTTTCTAAGTTTTGGTGGGCTGAATGATAGATTTACCTTGAAACGAGGTGGTAGAGCAATGTCTCTTTATCAGCAGTTTTTCACATCATTTCGGTGAAGACACTGTAAGTGTTCATTGCTCTGTAAATAGTAATTGTGAAAATAACACAAGCATTTGAATTTAAAAGTAGTATTGATTTATTTGGCCTGTTAATTTGCACACGTATTTCATGAACAGGTGCAAACTAGTCTGTTTCTTTTGCTCCAATTCACAGGTACCACCTTGATGAAATTTTCAAAACCAAATGTAGTAAAAGTTTTGGTTTTTTGGAAGTAGCCATTTGATACTCAATGCCAGCTAGTATGGATAGCATAACCTGTGAAAAGTTTGATTTGAGGTTAAGGCCATAAGAGACTTTCTTTGTTCACCACTAAGTTAGCTAAATGCTGATTTTGCTCTGACTCCTAAAGTTACAGGGAGTACTCTTTTAAAACAAATTTCATAGGAACTTTTCACACCATAATGGGATGGAATAACTCCTAGTGTGTCCCGAACTGTCTCAGATGTAGAATTAAATATTGCGTTATCTGTCCCTCAAAATGTAGTTGTGATGCAAAATAGTAATGACAGCACTTAATAACTTAAACCTTATTTTAATAAACGTTCTCTTTGGTTTTAAGCTGAAGCAGCAGCTATGATTGCACAAGATCAGGAAGAGTTTGAAAAAGAACACAGACTTGTGCAGGTAACTGATTATCTCAACATAAACGGAATAGTTCTCTAATTTATTTGCAAGTTACAACTTCTGAAATGTCTTTGTCTGCAGGCAGGAAAAGTAGACAGTCTAAATGCATCGGAATTAGCAGATACTTCATGGAAATCTGCCAATAGCTGCCTTCTGCTGAGAACATCTGATCTTGATAAAGATGCCAGTTATTTACGTTTGTCTTTGGGGGAGTTCTTTGGTCAGAGATCTGAAGCTCTTGGTTGTCTTGGTGGAGGCAGTGATGTGAAACGGGTATGTATCTTAATGTTAATATTAAGACACAAGGAAAGGACAAGAGCAATGACAGTTAGCACTACTTTGTTTTTTTATATTGCAAATAATTCCTTCGGAGAACTGCTTTTCTAATTTCACTTGGGAAGGTGTCCTGGTTTCAGCTGGGACGGAGTTAGTTCTTCTTTTTAGCAGCTAGAAGAGCTCCATGTTTTGGTTTCAGTCTGAGACTCCTTACGAGAAAAATGCTGACAGCGCACTGATGTTTGTAGTTGGCCCTAAGACCTCAAGGACTTTTCAGCTGCCATGTTCCTGCCAGTGTGCAGGAACGCAACAGGATAGGGGGGAGCATGGCCTGGGGCAAAGGGTTCACAACTCCTCTTATGATTTGAACTTAGGTTTAGGATTGAGGGCTAAATTGGCCAATGAAGTATTCCACATCATGCAATGTCATGCCTGGTATAAAGACGAGGGTTGACTGGAAAGAAGGCTTTTGCTCTTCCAGAGGTTCTCACTTTCAGACTCTCAGAGTGCTATCTCTCTCTCGCTCTCTTTTTGGGTCTCTCACTCATCTGGGATCGCGGTGTCAGGACTTGTGTGTTTCAGAATCGTTAGTCCAGGATGGGCCTTGGTCAGTGGATGGTGAGCAATTACATTGTGCATCACTTGTTTGTATATATTATTATCATTATACATATATATATATTTTCATATATTATTATTGATAGTGTTAATTTGTTCTTATCTCCACCCACGGGTCTCCTTCCCTTTTCCCCTTTAATTATCTTCCCCATCCCTTGAGGGTGGGAGAGGATGAGTGAGCAACTGTGTAGAGTTTAGTTGCCGGCTGGCCTAAACCACGACAGAAATTTCCTACACTTGGCAGATCTGGATTGGCTTTTGTTTCCCACTTGGAATTTCTGATGTGAAGGGCTGACTGGTGTTATTGATAAATCCTGATCTTCACCTTTTGGTCAGGAACTAAATATATGTAGGATTAGAGAGAGAAAAGTACACCGTATACAGGGTGCACGTTGGAGGTCCAAGCCAGTGATCCACATAGTAGTTGAAGGAAATGCTGGTTGGACAGGGGTATTTGAGCAGTGAGTGTATCTTTGAATGATTGTTGGTAGTTCATGTGCTGTCTAGACAAATGCCCAACTTCAGTAAAAATGTATTAATCTAGACTCAAACTTACCAACATACTTCTGTATGCTTCTTGCATCTATCCGATACCTGTCTCTTTTCTGCTTTTGGTAGACCATATCTCATCTGTGTTGCAGACAAAAAAAAAAGAAGCAGGGCAGTGTGTACAATGTGAGAAAGAAATCAAATATGCTTGTGTAATTCATTTGTGTCCTGATCAATTGGTAGAGTTGGCATGTTCTGTCCTGGGGCATTTAGAAGCTGGGCAGCAGAGCATGCCTCCAGGCAGAGATCACAGAATCATGGAATAGTTTGGGTTGGAAAGGACTTTAAAGATCATCTAGTTCCAACTCCCCTGCCATGGACAGGGTCACCCTCCACTACACCAGGTTGCTCAAAGCCTCTTCCAACCTGGCCTTGAAGACAGACAAGACGAGACATCCCCAGCTTCTCTAGGCAACCTGTTCCAGTGTTTCACCACCCTCAGAGTAATGATTTCTTCTTTGTATCTAATCGAAATCTCCTCTCTTTCAGTTTAAAGCCATTGCCCCTTGTCCTATCACTACATGCCCTTGCAAAAAGTCCCTCTCCAGCTTTCTTGTAGGCCCCCTTTAGGTACTGGAAGGCTGCTAGAAGGCCTCCCCTGAGCCTTCTTTTCTCCAGGCTGAACAACTTCAACTCTCAGCCTGTCTCCGTAGGAGAGGTGCTCCAGCCCTCGGGTCATCTTCGTGGCCCTCCTCTGGACCTGCTCCAACAGCTCTGTGTCCTTCCTGTGTTGGGGACTCCAGAGCTGAATGCAGTATTCCAGGTGGGGTCTCATGAGAGCTGAGTAGAGGGGCAGAATCTCCTCCCTTGACCTGCTGACCACGCTTCTTTGGATGCAGCCCAGGAGATGGTTGGCTTTCTGGGCTGCAAATATGATGAGATCATGTGTACTTTCTTTGGTTGAACTGGTATAAATAAGTTGTTAGTTTAGTTCATGTATCTATTGGAAGTGTATGTATTTGGTTTAGACATTTGCAATGCTACGAGACATGGGTTGCTTCTCAGTAGTATGAGCCAAACACCAACTGGGGAGGCACTGTGGCTGAAACTGCTTTGCAAGCCCACTGGACTTATTTATTAATGATTAAATTTACTCATGCTGAGGTAATTTTTTTTTTATAGCCATCTTTTGGTTACTATATTACATCTCCAAAGAAGCGGCAACCTATTGCTTTGCTAAGGCAATCTGATTCATCAGGAGTTGACACCCGCCAAGAGATTTCACAATTGTCTGAGGTATTTCCAGGTAATTAAAGAACAGAAGGGTCAGCCCTGGGCAGTGGTTACAACAGTATTTTAAAATTAATTGTATGTAGCTATTAAAGATTATTAGGAGTAATCTGTGGTAGAAAGACTCTAATTTTCATTCACCAAATATTTTTTTTTCGCTGTGAGCACCTGCCTCCCCCCGCCTTCCCCCTGAAAAAGACAGAACCTAAACACAAGAGAGAACATTATAATACCAAGTACAACCCTAAATTGTCTTGGATATTTCAGCATTTCCTGATACTAGATAGCTACCAGAGTGTCTTGTAGCAATTAAAGTCTGTTCAGAGTTTTCCTTTTGGAAAAAGCTGTATAAATATGTTGCCAACAAACAAACAGCCCAGAAAATTGGTCTCTTTGCTCACATAGGTATAGAGGATATAGGGAAAAAAGGAAAACAATTTGAGTTATAGCTGGGCTGACAGTGTGTGCATAAAATATAGTCTACTTTTTTTCCTTCCGTCTTCAAAAAAAAGTTACTTTCCCATACTATCTGCTTAATTTAAAGTAATAATTCAGGAAATTTCTCCAAAATTTTATATGTAAAGATCACAGCATGTATTTTGGTGTGTATATATGCCTATCAACAAGGTATGTTTAGGAAAGGGCGAGTGCCCTTTAACATTTTGGTGTGTATATATGCCTATCAACTTAACAGGGTATGTTTAGGAAAGGGCGAGTGCCCTTTAAAGCATCTCTGCTGCTCTTGATAGAACTGTGGCAACACCAGTCTTGGGGAACCTGCTTGTACAGTCAGCGCAGTGAGTGAATAGAATACTTTTTTACCTTAGTGAAAAATATCCATTAAGGTTTTCTGGAGCCTGCTTCCCTGATACAGCTTTACAGCTGTAATTTTCCTCATGCTGGGACCTTGCAGATATGTTTAAAGGGTGTCTAATGGTTATTATATTTTTTAAAATCTAGTGTTAGTGTAATTAAATTCACTATACAATAGTGTGGATTTTTGTCAAAAAATACGAGGAATTCATTGAGTTAATGATCTCTATTCACTTAAGTTATACTTGTAGTTGTTGCTTTGAATAATAGAAAAATACTCTAATGTGTTCTGCAGTTCTTTTGGTAGGAGAGTTGCTATAAATACTAGAGAAAGTATGTATTTGGGTCACTTTGTGACCAAGATACTAATAGTCATTACCATCTGATTTTCAGTAGTGCTGACAATAATAACCTTTATTAGCAATACCAGTGTGCAATTCCTGCTTAAGGAGCAGCAGATAGAGAGGAAACTTGAGAGGAGCAACCTGAGGGGGATGTTACTTGAAATACGAAGTATATCCAAACTCCAGATATCTACTATAAGAACAAAAGTCAAAAGAAAACAAACACCTACCCCCCCCCCCAAAAAAAAAACCCAAAACAAAACAAAAGTGTGTGTTTGCTTCATGCTTGTTTTCTCACTGATCAAAGCAGATGTTTTTCCTTCAAGCAGGAACTCATTTGTTGAAATGTAGCCTCTAGATCTTATATGAACAATATCTCCTAGTTTGGATTTGATCTCCTAATAAAGAAGATTATTTGTGGTTTTGATGGTTTCAGAAACATACCTGTCCCTCCTAAACATAATTGTTCAAAATCACCAGTTCACTGATACCTACCTCAGTCAAACCCTGTCTCCAGCACAAGAAAATTTGCTTTACTCAGATTTAACTCTTCTAGTTTTCTACTGGAGTTTGATCTATGTTCATGTTATCTTGCAAACAATGTTTTATGAAAAGGTTTGTTTAACTTATGCTAATATGATAAACTACCTGAAAACAAAATTTGAAGTGTATGAGCATGGTATTCTTAATGCCAGCTGATCTCGGGACTTGGATGTAAACTTTGAGTACTGTACGGGAAACAATTGATGCTTGTGGTGTCTGGATTTGTGCCATTTTGGCAGCTCTTTTTCTGTAGAGCTTTAAGGGAGCACGTGTATCCCAAGAATGCAGATGTTTAGACAATTTACTTATTGTAAATTAATTCCCTGTCTCTTTCTTTGGTCTTAGATGACACAGAAGCACAAGTGAGAGAACATGCAAATTCTACCAGCTGTGAAGGTGCATGGCATAGGATGGATACTTCAGCTGGAATACATAAAAGCCTTAATGTAGAAGCTGCCTCCAAAAGTAAAGCAAAGGTATTTCTCTTGTATTTTTCTATTAAGTGCAACTGTGAACCCAAACAAAATTAATATAGCTCCAATTATTATTGTTTCTTTGAATATGGCTAAATTTGGACTTTCATATCATCTCACTGTTTTTTACATTGATTATTTAAATCCTAGCAGCCGTCACTGTTTGTTAGGATAGATCATTAGAATATCATGATCCTGTAGTGAGTCAGGTGTTACTGTCACCGTCTCATTTTCATTTTTTCCCTACTTCACTTTTGAACTTACTTGGTCTGTCAGCCCATAGTTTTTCAGATTCCTAGGCTACTGATGTTCTGCAATCAAGCTTCTGAATTTCAGCTGTCTTCCTCTTCTATTTTTTTAAATGAAACAATTTTGTCTTCAGCATGTGAATCAAGTCTTTTACTTGATAAAATTCAAAAATATTGATGCAGTGTAAGTCTGAAAGGGATGTATTTTCAGTTTGGTAATCCTAGGCACCTACCTTTTCTGCCTTAATGGGTCGTGTTCTTTTTCTGATCAGATAGAACACGTACAGACCCATCCAGTTACAGTAGCAGCCCTTCTACATGATCATTGAGAGGAATCGGTAGCTAGCCAGTTTGACTTAATTTAGCTGATCAAATGATGAAGGCTGCAGACTTAAATACAGAAGGACTGGTTGGATTGCTCATCTGACTGTGTACTGTTATAATTTATCTTTCTTGTCTTCTTTCTAATTTATCCTTATCCCTATTGTTCTAGATACCAAATGAGTGATTTAAGGTTTTGATAATGTATATCCCAATTCTAATCTACACTGCTCTCAATTTGTACAAGTTTAGGTCACCCTCAGTCTGATATGAATGCTAAAATGTTCTCAAACACAGACAAGTCACAGAATGGTTGAGGTCAGAAGGCCCTCCTGGAGATCATCTAGTCCGTCTCTTCTTTTTCAAAGCCAGGTCAAATAGAGCAGGTTGATCAAGGTCCAGTCATGTTTTCAGTATCTCCAAGGATGGAGACTCTTTAGCATCTCTGATTCCTCTCTGAGCAACCTGTTCTGGGGTTTGATCATGTTGACATTTAAAATCCTTTTTTTATGTTTAAATAGAACTTCCTGTGTTTAAAATTGTGCCCGTTGCCTCTTTTCTTTTCACTGGATACCTTAGAGAATAGTCTGGGTCCATCTTCTCCACTCCTACCTGGCACTCTCCTCTCCCTATCGAGCATTTATACACATGGATAAAATTTCCTCTTGAGCCTTGTCTTCTTGAGGCTAAACAATTCCAGCTTTCTCCTCATATGACAGTTACTCCAAGTTCTTACTCATGTTTGTGAGATTGTGGTCTAGACATAACTGTCTACTTATTCCATGCCCTTTGCTAAGAATAGCCAATGTGAAAACTACGGAAGAAATCAGACTTGAGTGATAGAGAAAACTGTAGAAATAGCTTTGTCTTCCCCTTATAGAGAAGCAAATGGTTTAAAGTCAATTGGGAAGATACTGTGTATTTGGTCATGGTAGTTTCTTTTCTGCTGTGTTTGTTCTTGATGGCATTTTACTCTCAGTTCTTCCAACTGAATTAAAACATTTTAGGATTTTAAAAGTTTTACAGGAACTAAGGCTTCATTTATTTAATCTTTTGAAAAAAATTTTTAGAGTAGACTTAAAAAATCAGTACAGTGAGAATTGCACCTATTGCAGTATTTCTTCTTGACAGTTGATTAAATATGTGACAAGTAGAAATGTTAATATATTACCGTATACCGAAATGCAAAATTATTTAAGAAAACCCCACCCAAACCACAAAAACACAAAACCCAGAACACTAAACAAAAAATTCTTGATTTGGTGCTTAACTCATTTTGGTTTGTTGTAGGATGTAATTCATAAAGACAAGTTTGAAGACGGCTTATCTAATCATTCTGACTCTGTCCTGAGTATTAGCACAATTGCCTCTGCTATTGCTAATGCTTCCTCCAGTGCTGATCCTTCCCAGCTAGCTGCTATGATGATGGCACTCTCTAATAAAAGAACATGTTTCCTTCCTGGAATTGATAAAGAGGTGGAACTCTCTGCTAATCAGGTACTATCCAGCAATGTGGAAAATAGTGCATTTGATATGGAAAAATACCTCAAAAAAACAGATGAGCTTGGACATGAAAGTGACTATGAGAGTATTGTGAAACATGAAGCATCTGTCCAGAACCTTTTGCCTGAATCCTTTTTACTGGGTAAAAATAAAAATAAAAATAAGGATACTTTTGCAGAAGACTTGATAAATAATCATAGCAAGCAGCAGAAAATAGAGAAGCAGTTTCTGGATTATTTTAATGAAGAAAATGATATTCAGAATTTCTCTAGTCTGTCTGGTGCTCTCAACCATGAAGATGCAACTGCAAATGTTAAATATTCAGAAAAGTTGTCAGATTTAGTAAATAGTAAACATTTAGAGTCAGCGAATGCTGGTCTTAGATCAGATATGCATAATACCCAAACCTCACCTACTGGAAAAGAAGCACAGATGTGTGGAATTCCTCTAGCAGCAAAAATGGAAGTGACACAGAGAAGTCCGCTTGCTTACCAGACCAATGTTCTCACTAGTAGATGCTGTATCAAGGAAGACACAGAAACAGTAGATCAAGCAACAAATGCTGTTCTTGAACCACATAATGATTTGGTGGAAAGAAGTACAGGAAACACCCTGTCACTCAGCAACTTAAAACCTGCCAAGCAATCTAGTGAACACATCTCAGTATGTCCTACAAAAGCAAAGCCTGTGCAGAAATTGAACATTGAAAAGAAGCAAAATGCAAAAGCAGAGAAGAGAGACAAAGATGCAAGTACTGCTTGTGATGGGAATGCAAAACACGTAACTTTTGAGAACCTCTCCCCAACTTCCCAGAATAGTACTGGTGAGTATATCTATATAAATGTCATCAGTTGTTGAAAAGGCTTTTCTTGACAGTAGATTTATTCCCTGTGCTTAAATAAATACTGTTATTAAATTCTGTTTATTTGCCAGAGCATAAACCCATTCTACCTGAATGTGACTTGCAACCTCTAGAGGATGAGCAGTATAGCTTCAGACCTTCAACTTCACCACTAATCCACTCTTCTCCTAGTGAGACTTCTGGAACAGCATTTTCAGGGTAAATTTCTTGGTGCAGGTTATAAGAATTATTAATGCTTCATGAGGATTTTTGAGGCATCAAGTTTTAGTTTGAAGGCTGTACTTGATCTCACTTTGTAGAAAATCTTTATTAGGCTAAGACTTCATTCTTAGACAAAGCTTTCTGTTTGCTTTTATTACATGCATGGGGAAGCAGTCTTAAGCAATTGTTAACTTATTTTCCTCAGTGGCCTGATGAGACACAAAAGCTGGATAGGAACATTGCTGTTTCTGCTCAGGATTATCCAGTAGTGCAAGAATACAATATATGCAACCTGTTAGCTAGTCATATACCTCAGATGCCTAAAACTTTGTGTTGGTGGAGCTGTAAAATCCCATATTTATCAATTGTTGTTCTAGTGTAACATCATCTTTTTTTTTCTAGTGTTGTTCATCTTTTACAGATCGATTTAGTTGGGGGTTATGATGTTAATTATGTGGTAACAAAGCTTCACATTGTATAGACCAATGAAGATGTGTTTTTTTTAAACTTAGAAGTATTTCACTCAGTTTGGTTCTCTGATTCATACCACTGCTTGTTTTGAGAGAGCAAGGGTAGAAATATTTGTACTGCTTTTGACCACATGATGTTTTGAAACTGACTTGTGTCTGAGACTTAAGGCTTTCTTAGCAACTGGAAGGGCAATGTTTTTAAACGAGCTCCCATAACAATAAGTGTTATATAAACTATATGATTACAGCTAAGTTGATTGCGTAGTCTTAAACTTACAAACATGGCCAGTGGCCAATGGCTAAACATGTTCTCATGAATAGAGGTGGCAACTGGTTTCTTTGCTGTAGCTTTTAAGTTCACCGTTTGATATTTAACTACAGTTATTGTGTTGTACATGATATTAGAATTACAGGCTGTCTGGCATTTTTCAGAAGTTAAAATATGTAGAAGTGTGTGTATTTTTGCAAGTGTGTTATATAGACATTAGGATTTCCAATTAAAATTGTAAGTGTCTTTAATTATTTTCACATTGTCTCTTCTTGTTTGACCAAGTGGTGAGGGATTCTGTGTTTTCAGGTGTGTGAAATGAGGAGAATCACAGCAATGAGTGTAGGAAATACTAATATATGGTGCCTGGGATGTTGAATGATTTCATTTGGCATTCTTCCATCTAGTTAGATACAAGTATATTGATTCACTTTTTTCCTTTTAGTAAGTTGTGTTGTTTCTGTGACCTTAGTGTCTGAGTTCAGTTGTGGAACTCTGATGCTTTGCCTTACAGATTTATATCTGATGAAAATGAGTTTTATATATGTCAAAGCCAGAACTTGTAAAGATTAATTGAGAGCTGATTTCTTATTTCCACTGACTGTACTAAACAATGTCTAAGTAAGTTGGTTTTTAGAATAGTATAGCTAATGTGTGGCATTGATTTTTCTTGAGGGCAGCATTAGAAATATATTCTAATACTGACGTACTTCGAATCTGTTTTTCAGGTCTGAAATTGACTTTACTTGCCCATCACGTTATCAGGAATCTTCTTGCAAGGAGAGTGTGCTACCTCAGTCGGTTTACTCAAGTCCTAGCATGAGCAGATTAACATATGTCTCTGCATCTGACAGCACCCTTAAGAACACAGCTGTAATACATAATCCAGAGACATACTGGGTAAGAAAATCTTGAACTGTAAATATATCTTAATTCCCTTTTTTAAAAAAAAAACAACCAACCAAACAAAACAGCACCTTTCCCTCACCCCCACACTAAACTCTTAAATGGTCAAAATAATGCTAAATTAAAAAAGCCTTAAGGGTTTTGGACCAGTTTAGGACATGCTGTGCATTGGGAAAAGGTATTCTGCTTCTCTCCTGTTCCTGAGTTTCAGAAATTTGAATTCTGAAATAGATTGTGTTAAATTCACAAACCTTAATGAGTGTAAACATAGGAAAACATTCGAAGAACTGTTGACTTTTTCAAAGTTAGAGTTGGTGTATTTTTCTCCTTTGAATGTTTTCTTTTTCTTTTTTCCCCCTCAATTGCCTGTTAGGTCATTCTGTTCTTGGAATGCAGTGCAATATTCCAGTAGTAGTTTGTAGGATCTATACCTGCTTTCATCACCCTTGAGACTCCATTTCTGCTCAGCTTCAGCTATTAGAAGAATATTTTTTTTTTTCCTGGAGAAATGTTTATAAATACATATTTTAGCTTTAGGTTCCTTTTTCAGGACTGAAGCTATCATTTTCTACCTCTGACAGTCATTCTGACTGTTCTTACCACTTAAGCAAAGAGTGTGCCCTGAGAGTGAAACTTTTGTTCAGACTTGCAGTCTTATGCTGATTAAGATAATTGACATTCTTTTATCTAAATCCATGAGTTCCTTGGAGTCTGGAATCTTTCTGTTATGCCTCCCACCTTCCAAAGTGTGTGGAAATGTGTATGGAACTTCAAAAAACAAACAAACAAAAGCTGAAAAACCTCTCTGACTCATCCATACCTGTGTAAATCTGAGTGGTTATGTTTATTTTGTAATGTCTTTACCAGTTGTGGATTCCTCTAACACAGGAAATAGAAATGGTCTCTACTATGGATTTTTTTTCTCCGTTTGCAGAGGATGAGGCTTTTCGGGACTGGTGACTAGTGAAAGCTTAGTGAAGCCTCCTCTTCCTTCTGTAGGAACACCAGCAGCAATGTTCCTTCGTGCTCAAAGCATCAGGAAGTGTGTGTTCTGACCTATAGCTTGTTTTGTTCTATGTCTAATTGCTCAAGTTACTTGGAGAATATCTGTTCTTTTCCATCTTGATGTGTCCAGTGGGAATTGCAGTCCTGTAGGAAGGAACCCAAGGGCAAATTTAAATGAGTATTTGCTTGCAGTCAGTGCTGTCTTAGTATCAGCTCTTGAGTCTATTTCATGTTCAAAATGCGTATACTTCTAGACTCCTGTCATCTCATGCAAATGGGTGGCTTTTGGTGCTTTGCTGTAACTGACTACATGCTAGTTTGCCCCTTGTGTCTTGAAGAGATGTTATGATTTAGTAGTCTTTGTTCTCCAGGGTAGTTTAGCAAGGAGATCCTCAAGTACTTTGCCAAAATTTTACATTTATATTATGAGTATGTTTATAAGTCTCATTTATAAGGCTGCAGTGTTAATTTATTCCTTTAGGATAGTAATCTCTTATACTGAGGGAGAGAGACCAAGGGATCTTCATTTCATTTGTAATGTTAAAAGCCACTTTAATGTCTCTTGCCTGAAGGTTCTTGCAGACAACAAGAATGTTTGTATTGGTGTTATCTTCAGATTTGAATACTTCCTGTAGCACAACCTATTTAACCAGTGGTGCTCTCTCCTTTTAACACTAGGATCAGGTTGTCAAAGGTGCATGATTTTTTTGTTTTGTTTTAATTTCTTGTTTGGTTGATTTGGGCTGGTGAGCCATCTCACCTCAGGCAGCCCTTTTTAAAGGCTTATAACTTGTAGCTTACTTCTCTACAGCAATCTGAACAGCTACTTTATTGTTTTTTTCCATTCTTTTGCATGCCTTTCCCTGCTTCCCAAGTCCTATTTACTTAAGCTGAACAATTGCTTTATACCGTAGATACTCTTCATCCTTCTATGTAGCTCTCTTGTTCTTGTGTCAGTTCTCTAGGTACACCTGTCCTGAGCTGATGTTTGATTGCTTTGACACCACGCTGTCTAGTTTTGGTTTTGAAACTTTTAAAAATTGTTTTGAAACTCGATTTTTGAAAATGGAATCTGTGATCTGGATGTACTTCACAAGAAAAAAATTAAAGAACATTTTAGTTTTTCAGATTGGTAAGGGAAGTACCTGGAGTTCCATCCACTGTATTATGGAGACTGCCAAGTATGATTCCAGTTGTGGGAGGAATGGTCAATCTCCCATGGTCAGTCCTCCTCCACGGATTAGTGCCAATGCTATTGTTAGTAGCTATGAACAGTTTGAGAGGATGTAATCACTTCTGCTCTTGACAGTTAACCCAATAGGAGATTCCTTGAAACACATTTGCGTGTATGCATATTTATGGCTCGTACTTTTTTTCTCCTGGTTTGATTTCAAAGTACAAAAATTCCAAGACTCTGAGGATAAAGTGTGCTCATTCCACCTGCACCATGCACACCTGCCAAAATGGAAGGTCTTTGGGCTTGAAAGATTTCTTTGTATGAGTGCACGAAGGAAGTGTTTGTATCAATGTGTTTTTTCATCAATGATTTGGTTCAAGACCACTGAGCTTTTTAGTTTTTAGTTAGTTTAGTTTTTTTAGTTTCTATCTTAAAAAGCTGGCAAGTATGTATCTAGTGATGTGTTGTGGTTGTGGGTTTTTTTTTTTAAAACAACAAAAATACATCTGCTGTGATGTTACTGTAACTTACTGCTTCTAGGTCCTTAGCTTTTACTAAGAACCCGAAGTACAGATTTGATACCTAACCATATCCGCTTTTTGTTAGTGGACTCTTAATTCCTGGGGATTCTTGTTTCTTAGAAGACACTTAGACCTTAGTAAGCACCTTTGCATTCAAGCAAGTTGTAAAGAATAGAGAGAAATAACCTGTGCCACACTTGGATGCTGTTATTTAGGTTCGATCCTATCAGAAATAGGATTGATTAGGATTGATTGTACGAAAAATAGTGTGGCCAGCAGGACTAGGGAAGTGATTGTCTCCCTGTACTTGGCACTGGTGAGGCCACACCTCGAATACTGTGTCTGTTTTTGGGCCCACACTACAAGACAGACATTGAGGTGCTGGAGTGTGCCCAAAGAAGGGAGACGAAGCTGATGAAGTATCTAGAGCACGAGTCTTCTGAGGAGCAGCTGAGGGAACTGGGGTTGTTTAGCCTGGAGAAAAGGAGGCTGAGGGGAGACCTTGTCACTCTCTACAACTACCTGAAAGGAGGTTGTAGCCATGTGAGTGTCAGTCTCTTCCTGAGTAACAAGTGATAGGACAAGAGCAAATAGCCTCAAGTTGTGCCAGGGAATGTATAGATTGTATATTAGGAAAAATTTCTTCATCAAAGGTTTGTCAAGCACTGGAACAGACTGCCTAGGGAAGTAGTTGAGTCACCATCCCTGGAGGTGTTTAAAAGACTGTAGATGTGGTGCTTAGGGACATGGTTTAGTGACAGACTTAGCAGTGTTAGATTGACAGTTGGACTCAATGATCTTAAAGATGTTTTCCAGACTAAATGGTTCTGATTCATGCACTTTTAAACATGAAAATCTTTGTGGTATTGGATCCAAACACAATAAATAAGAAAATTCACTGCAGGTCTCTGATTTTTAGAATAATAATGTGAACCTGTCAGTGAGTTTAGGAATCTGCTCCATTAGGGTTTTTTTCATAGTATGGTTACTTTCTCACAGAATGACTTTATAAAATCATAGAAAGTAAAATATTTTTAGCTCTATGGAAGCTCTCTTAGTCGGTGGTAACCTCAGAGAGCAGAGCATTCTTGTGGTTTTAATGCCTAGTGTGGTAGGTTGACCCTAACTGCTGACTAGTCCCCCTCTGGCAATTGCTCGCTCACACCCCACAGTGGGATGGAGGAGAGAATTGGAAGGGCAAAAGAGTCAGGTAGGGGATTGGTGAGTTGAAATAAAGACAGTTTGATAAGTCAAGGGGAAGGAGAGGAGGGGAAAGTGATGCAAAAGCAATCACTTGCTACCAGCAGACTGATGCCCAGCCAGTCTCCAGGCAACAGCTACTTTGGAAAAATTCCCTCACAGTTTTATTGCTGAAGATGATATTACACGGTATGAATTCTCTCTTTGGTCAGTTGACATCAGCTGTCCTGACTGCGTCCCCTCCCTACCTCTTGCCCACCCCCAGCCTACTCTCTGGAGTGACAGAGTGAGAAATGTAGGCAGCCTTGATGCTCTGCAAACACTGCTCAGCGATAGCCAAAGCACTGGGGTGTTATCAACATTGTTTTGGTCACAAATCTAAAAGTACAGCACCTTTACAGAGAAAACTAACTCCATCCCAGCCAGACCCAGTACACCTAGCTTGAAATGTGACTTTAGACAGCAAACAGGTTGAAATCACAGATTTACTTTTTCAATGTGAGGAGCAGCAGATGTTACAAAAGCAAAACTTAAGACAAGACTTGACAAACTTGATAATTTATGTTGGATGACAGTACCAGTATTAAGGCTGTCTTGTTTTATGTACCCGATTTGCTTTTCCAAGATTTGTAATACTGCGTATTTTATTTCTTTACTAGAGTGAAAATGCTTGTGAACTGAGCACAACAATAATTCGAGCCAGCCCAACTCCTTTGCAGGAACATACAAATGAAAATCTAGAAGACCACTCATGTCAAAGAAATAGAAAAGAAACTCTGCTTAGTATTGACCAAAAAACAGAAGAAAATGAACTTGCAGGTCTTAAAAGAAAGCTCGATGATGTACTGGGTCAAGAACTCTCCAAAGAAGGTTTTCCAAAGAATGAAAAGCAGCTTGCATCTATTCCTTCAAATGTAGCAGCAAATGATAAAGAGCTAGACCATGTTAAATCAGCTTTACCAAGTAAATTCTGCGTCTTTCAGCCGCTTTCTGGTAATGTTGATGCACAAGAAGTGTGGCAGGATCAAATAAGCAAAGCACAGAGACAAGGATTACCATCCTTGAATGCGTTACCCATGTATCCTGGATTGAGTGCTTATATGCCATTCAATCAAAACTCATCTGGTGAACAATATGTTCCTATTTCAAGCTTTAAATCTCATGTCACTACCTCTGAGAGTCAAGCAATTTCTTCTTCTGTTCCCACGTTGCTTACAGGACGTTCTCTTGCAACGACTCCGTTTGCACAACAGCATCTGGGAAATATACCATCTACTGGAAATACAGTTTTGTCTCAGTTTCATGGCTGCAACTCTGCGGGTTTTGGTCTTCCAGCAGGGCTTCCTTCTTCTGGTATCCCAGCAGGACATGTTGAGAATCCACTTATGGTGGGAATTCCTTTAGGTCCAAATATTGGTCCTGGCTCTTTGGGTGCAGCTTCACTTTATAATCCACATTCTACTTCCTGGAACAAGAATATCTTAAATGTAAAATCATGTACTGGACAACCTCTTGGAGCTGGTAGAAACGAGTGGGAATTGCCAAAGTCACCTGGTATTGGTAAGTGTGTTTTTTAGAGTGTGTTTAAAATACAACTGTGGACAACAATAGTGATAATATTTTACAACAATAATATATTACAACAATAGTAATTAATGATGCTAATATAGCAAATAAATTTAAGATGATTTAAAGTGTAACCACAATTATTCTTCATGCAAGCTTTTTTATTTTAAAAAAAGATATTAGTAATTTCCCTGATTTAATGATGATCTCTGGATACAATGTCTATTCTTATAGTCACCTTAATGGTCTTAAAAGGAATTTTCCGTAATCTAGAAGAATTTCAGCATTCAGTGGTTTCATTTTTGTTTAAAGGATCTAGAACTGTCTTTCATAGGAGGAAGAGAAATGCTAGCTGGAGTTCATGTTAGGCAAGACAAGTCATGCTCTGGAAATTCAGTTGTATTTTATCTGGAAAGTAAATGACACTTCTCCAGCCTAACTTGGTATTAGCAGTCAGTTAAGACAAAAAGTCCAAGGAGGAGAGTGGAGGGCTTAAGCTGTTTTCTGGTTATGAAGGGGAAAGACAAGCTGCCAAGTTCCTTCTGTACTTTGTTCTATTGCTCTGTATCTTGACTGACTTCTAAATCTAAGCAATGCAAATTAGCATTTCATTTTAAAGACTTCTTTTAACCTATGATATCTTTAGTTGTTTTTGGCTATACTTTTTTCTTGATAATTCTTTCAGACAAAATGATAAGCTAGTAGGGTTGAAGATTTGAATTTGTGACAGTTTATAGGTTATTAGGTTATAATAACCCGGGATATGGAGAAGGCTGAGGTTCTCAATGACTTCTTTGCCTCAGTCTTCACTGGCAAGAGCTCCAGCTGCATGGCGCAAGTTACAGAAGGCAAAGGGAGAGACTGTGAGAATGAAGAACCGCCCACTGTAGGAGAAGATCAGGTTTGAGACCATCTTAAGAACCTGAAGATGGACAAGTCCATGGGACCAGACGAGGTGCATCTGCGGGTCCTGAGGGAACTGGCAGATGAAGTTGCTAAGCCACTATCCATCATATTTCAGAAGTTGTGGCCATCTGGTGAAGTTCCCACTGACTGGAAAAGGGGAAACATAGCCCCCGTCTTGAAAAAGCGGAAAAAAAGACCCAGGGAACTACAGGCCAGTCAGTCTCACCTCTGTGCCCAACAAGATCATGGAGCAGATCCTCCTGGCGACTATGCTAAGGCACATAGAAAATAAGGAGGTGATTGGTGACAGCCAACATGGCTTCACTAAGGGCAAATCCTGCCTGACTAATTTGGTGGCCTTCTATGATGAGGTTACAGCATTGATGGATAGGGGAAGAGCAACTGACATCGTCTACTTGGACTTATCCAAAGCATTTGATACTGTCCCACACGACATCCTT